GCTACTTGGGAGGCTGAGGCAGGAAAATCACTTGAACCTGGGAGGTGGAGGTTGTAGTGAGCCAAGATTGTGCCACTGCATTCCAGTCTGGGAAACAGAGCAAAATTCTGTATCATAAATAAATAAAGGCACAAAACAAAATGCTTAGGATTGTAATGAGAACAATTATCAAAATTATATTTAAAAACAAATTTGGGGGCCGGGCGTGGTGGCTCACGCCTGTAATCCCAGCACTTTGGGAGGCCGAGGCGGGTGGATCACGAGGTCAAGAGATCGAGACCATCCTGGTCAACATAGTGAAACCCCGTCTCTACTAAAAATACAAAAAATTAGCTGGGCATGGTGGCGCGTGCCTGTAATCCCAGCTACTCAGGAGGCTGAGGCAGGAGAATTGCCTGAACCCAGGAGGAGGAGGTTGCGGTGAGCCGAGATTGTGCTATTTCACTCCAGTCTGGGTAACGAGCGAAACTCCATCTCAAAAAAAAAAAAAATTTGGAGGTGGGGAGCACTAGCACTCAACTGATGTCCCAGCTACTCCAGAGGTTGAGGTGGGGAGTATCATTTGAGCCTAGGGCTTCAAAGCCACCCTGGGCAACAGAGCAGGACGCCCCCGACCTCAAAAAAAGAAAACCACAAATTTATGATATTATAATATGTGTTTATTAACATTAACAAGACTGGCCAAAAGTTAAATTTTCCTTTTTTAATGACCACAGTGTGTTGTCAACCAACTGTGGGGTGATTTTTGACTCACCTTCTCTTACATATTGATCAGCAAACAACTAAAGACAGGGAATGCAGAAGAGTGGAGAAGCCCTATTGAAAACAGGCAGATTCACCCTTTGGTCACTGAACCACTGCTAGGCCCAGAGGTGCCCAGTTAATGGCGGCTACATCACAGGAACATCTGAAACAGAAGGTGCTCACATACAATTTAGTGGTGGTTTAACAACTGTGATTCAGAAATCATTACGAGCATAAATATTTTGAGATATTTGCAATTTGATATGAAAATAGCTGTGATTTCTATTGGTGACTAAGCCAAAAATGCTGCTACTACTTCAATCCATGTAGAAGGAAATCATAAATTTTGGTTAGAGGTTAGTGAAAATAAAATGTAATTTTTTTTCCCATCCAAGTTTATGGATCCCCTGAATTCTGTTTTGTTTTGTTTTGTTTTTTGAGACGGATTTTCACTCTGTCACTCAGGCTGGAATGCAATGGCACGATCTTGACTCACTGCAACCTCTGCCTCCCAGGTTCAACTGATTCTCCTGCCTCAGCCTCCCAAGTAGCTGGGATTACAGGTGCCCACCACTACGCCCAGCTAATTTTTGTATTTGTAGTAGAGACGGGGTTTCACCATGTTGGTCAGGCTGGTCTCAAACTCTCGACCTCAGGTGATCCACCTGCCTCAGCCTCCCAAAGTGCGGGAATTACAGGCGTGAGCCACCGCACCCGGCAGATCCCCTGAATTCTGAACCCCAGAGTAAGAGCTTTCATCTTAGAAAAATGTCTGACACATACTAAATTTTCATCATTGTCATCTCAGGTCAGGGGACTCCCAGGGCTTTATAATCAGGTAAAATCAGTTTTGCTCAATTGCTAGGTGACTTGGCCCAACTTCTACACCTCTCTGAATCTGTTTCTTCCTCTCCATAAGGAGATACCTAGACCTTAGAGCTGTGATGATGTTAAGTACTTTGAAATCTGTATCATGGCGTCGATATGAGTTATTACTGCTTTAATTCTGTGGGGAGGAGCTGACTGTGTCACCCACTTCAGAATTTCTGCAGCATCCCAGCCTTCAAAGCCTGTCACAACCTTACCTTTAACCCAGAGACCCAAAGTCTGAATTTCACCCATGGTTGGCCCATGCAGTGTCTGTGTGTTGTCATCATTTAATAATTTCACATGCAAATTAAGAGCTCCAGCTTCTCTGAACTTGGCCAGATCTGGTGATGCCATCCCTTCACACTTGGTGTTAACAGCCTCTTTCATTTTGTGAGCCAGTTGGCTTCAAATTTGCAAAATGCCCTTCCCATCTCCAGCTTTGTCCTTTGCTTCGAGCCTGTGTCCCCTGAACACTCTGAGCTGCATCTTCTTCTAATATTTTTGCCTCTGCATATAGCAGCCTCCCTGTGGCACTCCGGGGAAGTCCAATAAATTCTAAGAGAGCCTTTATCACAGTGTCCGGTAGACAGATCTTGATTTCATCAAATACCTTTTCTGAGCTGGCACCAGAGGTGAGAACCAGCCCCTTTCCTCCCTGAACCACGGCGCCTTTACTCTGTGCTCCCAGCACCTGCCAGGGCTAGGCAGTTAGGGACACAATAAATGACAGCTTCTATTTTATTTATTTTTATTTATTTTTTAGAGATGGAGTTTTGCTCTTGTTGCTCAGGCTGGAATGCAATGATGCAATCCCAACTCACTGCAACCTCTACCTCCCAGGTTCAAGTGATTTTCCTGTCTCAGCCTCCTGAGTAGCTGGGATTACAGGTGTGTACCACCACACCTGGCTAATTTTGTATTGTTAGTAGAGACGGGGTTTCACCATGTTGGCTAGGCTGGTTTTGAACTCCTGACCTCAAGTGATCCACCCACCTGCCTGGCTGGCAGCTTCCATTTGAAAGCGTTTTGTTTCTTGACAGAGTCTTGCTCTGCTGCCCAGGCTAGAGTGTAGTGGTACAGTCTTGGCTTACTGCAACCTTTGCCTCCCAGGTTTACGTGATTCTCATGCTTTAGTCTCCCGAGTAGCTAGGATTACAAGTGTGGGCCACCACACCTGGCTAATTTTTGTATTTTTAGTAGAGACAGTTTTGCCATGTTGGCCAGGCTGGTCTTGAACTCCTGACCTCCAGTGATCCGACTGCCTCAGCCTCCCAAAGTGTTGAGATAACAGATGTGAGCCACTATGCCTGGCCTATTTTAAAGGCTTTATTAATATGAAGTTCTACGTGTTTGCTGTATACATTTCAAAGGTGATAGATTAAATGAAAGGAGGACATGCCCTTTCCCCAGTGTGTCTCTATCATGCTCCCCAATGGTCGTCTTCGCTAAATTTGGGATATTCTTTTATTTTCTGCATCTGCAGATAGTCTACATACTATTCTGCAAATTGTACTTTTTCTTTTTTCTTTTCTTTTTTTTTTTTTTTTTTTTTTGAGACAGGGTCTGGCTCTGTCGCCCAGGCTGGAGTACAATGGCAAGACCTCAGCTCATTGCAGCCTCTGTCTCCTGGGCTCAAGCAATCCTCCCACCTCAGCCTCCCAAGTAGCTGGGAATACAGGCATGCACCACCATGCCTGGCTAATTTTTGTTTCTGTTTCGTTGGTTTTTTTTTTTTTTTTTTTTGGTAGAGATGAGATTTCACATGTTGCCCAGGCTGGTCTCAAACTCCTGGGCTCAGGCAATCTGCCTGCCTCAGCCTTCCAAAGTGCTGCCCTGCCATACTTTTTCATTTAAGGGATAATCAATACCAAATTAAATAACACAAGTAAAGTGCTTAGAGCAATGACTACTATTTTTAACGTGTCATGGACAACTTTCTGAATTGGTATATGCAGATATGCTTTTATTATTGTTCCCAAGCTGAGGGTAGGGAAGTCCCTGCAGAAACTGTCTTGAAGAAATGGGTTAAATGTGCCCTCCCTCGAGGTAGATGTGGTTGATCTCACAGAAATCAAGTGGAAAAGGCATACTATGGTGAGGAGCTAATAAAGGCACCCTCCCCCTCCTTCGATAATGCTGATTGGATACCACCAATCAGCACTATCTGCAGCAGGGATGGTGCCCGGACCAGGGCTGTGGGAGGCCTGCCCAGTACCTGGTCCAGGCCTGGGACTTCTGAGCACTGTCAGCCAAGGCCTCTCCTGCCTACCCGGACCAGCCTCCTCAGTGAGTGGGGGAGGTGCTGCTCAGGCCTGATGCTGATCTCTTTTGACAGCTGCTCCTAAGGCTGGCAGGATGGTAGGCAGTGGGGGAAGGGACCAGATTTAAAGGTCCAGTTGCCCCGCCCCCCCGGCAGACCTGGGCAGAAGGCGCGGGTGAGCATCCTCTGAGGGCTTGGGTCTTGCACATATAGAAGGTCGGAGACCCCTCTACCCTAGTTTCCACTTCTTGATATCATGGAGACGGCTGGTCTTCACATCTGCTCTCACCCTACAGGCCGCCAGGGAGACCAGTGCCGATCACCATGCGATTTCGACGCCTGACCCCTGGTTACTTCCGGGTGCTACAGGTAAGTACCCCTGATCAATGGCTTTTGGCATGACTGACCCCTTCTTCCCCCTACCATAGCTGGGTTGACACCCCCAACAGCCAAGCTGTCACGTTCCCTGCCGCCTGAGCAGCAGAGGCCCAGATGGGCAGTGAAGCGAAAGGGATTGGGGTGGAATCTCCCTGGGGCAGCACTGGCGTCCATGTCTCCTTCCCCCAGCTGCACCTACTCATCCCCTTCCCACTACCCGCCTTCCTGGAAGTCTCAACTGATCCGTCAGGCTGTGCGCCTCCAGATGCAGATAGCTGGTGAGCTGAAGGCAGAGCCCCGGAGTCCGCTGGCTGGGGTTGTGGCTACGGTCTTAGCTGTCCTCGGGCTGGGTGGCTCCTGCTATGCGGTTTGGAAGATGGTGGGGCAGCAGCAGCTGCCACGGAACCCATAACAAGGAAGAGAGACTCTCACCTGGACGATGGAGGTAGGTGACTCGAGAGGGGGCTGCAATCTCAGAAGCCTGCTTCTTTTCTGGGGATCATTCTGTGTCGGAAGCAGGACAGAGTAATCTGATCCCACTCCTGCCACCCCACATTGTATCAGGGCTCCATCTGGGTGTTCCTGTTCAGATGCTAGGACCTCAGAGGGAAGGCAGGGATGCAGGCTCCAAAGATAGACCAACTGGACGGTAGACACCCTAGGCCTGGTGCACAGAAAGTAGTAAAGAAACCATTCCAGGGCAGGAGTTTGGGACGGTGGCCTGGAAGTTAGAGAATTGGAGGCAAGCTCTCTTTGTCCAGTTCCTTTATTGGGGGCAGGGCACCCAGAAGAGGCCATCCGCTTCACAAACCCAGGGCCAAAAGGGGCTGGCACACGCCCTCCCAGCCTAGTCCTTGCGTCACTGTCCATGAGCAACTCCTTTGCCCTGCATCCTCAGGCCATGTCAGATAGAAGTGTCCATCTCAGGGACCTCGGTGGACACTTCTGTGGGCACTGCCAGACGCCTCGGGGACACATAGGATCCCATACCCGCTGCCCTCTCCGCCTCTTCCTGACTGTAGGGTTCGACGCTCAGCTGCTTCAGCCTGGCAGAAAGAAGAATAGGAGTTGGGAGCTGACCAGGTGCGAGCCCTATCTGCCGAGCACCCATCCATCAATCCTCTCCTCATTCCTTCATACCTTTTCTTGTGGTCTTTGGATCGGAAGTGGGTCTTCAGGTTGGCGGAATCGATGAAGTACCTCCTGTAGGGAGGGAAGTGAGAAGGAGAGTGAGGAGGTGATGTCTATCAAGCACACCTATCTCCCTAGCCCTAGCTTGTCCCTGACACCAGGATCTGAGTCTGAAGAACGTGAGGCGGGAGGAACGACGGGTCCCAAGAGAGAAGACTCCGCGCTGCCCGGGGCTCGAACTTCACATTTCCCGGCGGGTACCTCGGACCCTCCTCCGCCCTAGGCCGGGCTCGGCCGGTACTCACGCGCAGGCCAGACAGCGGTGCAGGCCGCCCCCTGGCAGGTCGGGGTCCGGCTCGGCGTCTGGGTCGGGCTGGGGCCGTGCGGGTCCCTGCTGCAGCAGCTCGCGATGAATCTCATCCAGGTCCGGCCGCCGCCGCTTCGCTTTCATCTGCCGGGCTAGGGAGTGCGCTCGGTGCGCGCCTGTCCGGCGGGAGCGACCCATGGCCAGCAGCAGTCCGGCAAAAGGACCAGGCACAGAGCACGGAGTACACGTGTGGGCGCTTCCGGGTCGCGCAGCGACGTCAGGCGACGCCGGGGGGCGAGGGAGGCTTGGCCGAACCGCCTCCGACAAATGACGTCACTCGCTCGGCCAGCGGCTCGAGCGCCCCCAGGCGGCCGTCGACATCAGTGACCGAGCTCAGGACGGGCCCCAAAAGTATGCCCACTGAAGAACATGGCCAGGGGGGCCCTCGCTGGGGAGGCGCGGGTGGCGCGTGCGTCTGGGGGTTTCGGGGCCGTGTCGCTGCCTTGCTCTCCCTGGCCTGGCCCAATAAGTCTCAGTGCCAACCTCTACCCCTGCATCCCTTCCTGGTTCCCAGACCTTGGGCTCTGCGGTGGGGGTGGGATGCTTTTATCTCTGGAAAGCACTGATAAATGTCTGTGTCGTGAATAAATCAATATATGACTGAGAGTGAATGAGTTTGGAATCCCAACCCTAACAGGGCTTCCCGAGATATCTCCAGTCCCTGAAAAAGCCCTCACTTCTCCCTGGTTCCCAGTTATCTCTTGAATCTCCATCCTCCCTCTCCCCTCCGCCAACTCTGTGAAGGGTGTTCCTCCCCAGAGACTGCAGTACACAGGCATCCAGACTCCAGAGGGCTCAATTCTTCTCACAAGTAGTCATGGAAAGACCTCTCCATCTTTGCCTCCTTTTTCTAAGCCCTGGGCTCCCAGAGATGGGCTGGCAGCAGAGGCCCAGGTGTTGCATACACAGAGTGGGCAGAGGCCTAGAGGGCCTTTCCCTGTTCATAGGAGCCTGGTGCCTCCCAGGCTGGCCAGAGCCAGCTCAGCTGGAAGGGTCCAGAGGAGCTTAGCAATAATTCAGGGACTCCAGCTCTTTGGAATCTGTTGCCAGGAAACAGGCACGTGCATCCCTGGGGAGAGGAATCAGTTTCCAGCCCAGACAAAGAAGTGAAATGTAAGCCCAAGGTGCCCACTGGGGGCCTGGGGACCTTCCACTCCAGCTCATTGAGGCTGAGTAGGGATGCAGGGTAGAGCCCTACTGAGAACACAACTGGTATGACCATAGTCACCAGGGCTCCAGTGTGGGTCCCATTCCTCAGGATTTTGTGAATGGAAGAAGATTTTCCTGGAGACATGCTAAGAGATGGACAACCTCAAATACTTCCAGGCCCGCAAAGAAGGCCTCCCTAGAGACAGAGAGATAGAGAAGGCCTGTCTAGAGACATTATTCTTGGCCAATATGGGTCAAGACAAGGGGGTAAGATGATGGAAGCCTGTTCCGTCCCCCACCACCCCCTCCCCGACTCCTTTGGATCAAGTTCATTTCCTGGGCACTGTGCCAGCTGGGGAGGCTGGTGCATCTTTAATGAAGTCACCAGATCCCTCGGACAGGCTCTTGGCCTCACCAAGTTCCTGGAGCCAGACTCACTGGTATCCATTGAGCCACCACCTTCCTGTGCCTGGATGCCAGGCCTCTTCCCCCTGCAGCCATGAACCAGGCCTTCTGGAAAACCTACAAGTCCAAAGTGCTACAGACCCTGAGTGGGGAATCTGAGGAAGACCTGGAAGATGAGGTGGGTGCCATCCATGCATGCTGGGTGGAGCATGTGCAGAGAGGCAGCAGGAATGAGTGATATGAAGTGGGACACAGAATAGGCTTGGAGGTTGGGGGGGCACATTTGTGCAGGCGGCACATTCAGGGATGGTAAAGAGCATGGTGCAGCATCAGAAAGCCAGGACATTTGGGAAAACTGAGGAAGCAGAAAAGACCTGGGGACCACGGGAAGAGAGGCTGCTGTCTCCAAAGATCTCGAGGCTGCCACATGGAAGAGATTCTTCTAGGACAAGTGGTCAGTAGGCACACAAACACACTTAGCTGGACACAGCTTTCTAATGGGAGCAGAAGTGGGAGTGATGTAGTGAGTCCCCTGTTACTAGAGGTAGGGGGAGTGGCGCCTGTACTAGAAAGGCCACTGCAGCAGCATCGGATCAAAGCCATACTGAGACCATGCTTTGTCCTGACATTAAAAAACAAACAGGCCAGGCCGGGCGCGGTGGCTCATGCCTGTAATCCTAGCACTTAGGGAGGCCAAGTCGGGTGTATTGCCTGAGCTCAGGAGTTCAAGACCAGCCTGGACAACATGTTGAAACCCTGTCTCTACTAAAATACAAAAAAAGTAGCTGGGTGTGGCAGCATGCACCTGTAATCCCAGCTACTTGGGAGAATCACTTGAACCTGGGAGGCAGATGTTGCAGTGAGCCCAGATTGTGCCGTCGCACTCCAGCCTGGGTGACAGAGCAAAACTTCGTCTCAAACAAAAACAAAAACAAAAACAAAAAACAGGCCAGGTGCAGTGGCTCATGCCTGCAATCCGAGCACTTTGGGAGGCCAAGGTAGGTAGATCACCTGAGATCAGGAGTTTAAGACCAGCCTGGCTAACATGGCGAAACCCCGCCTCTACTAAAAATACAAAAATTAGCTGGGTGTAGTGGTGGGTGCCTATAATCCTATCTACTCAGGAGGCTGAGGCAGGAGGATCACTTGAGCCCAGGATTTAAAGACCAGCATGGGTGACATAGTGAAACGCTCTTTCTACAAAAAAAAAAAAAAATTAGATAGTCATGGTGGCACACACCTGCAGTCCCAGCAGTTGGATCGCCTGAGCCCAGGGAGGTCGAGGCTCCACTGCACTACAGCCTGTGTGACAGGTGAGACCTTGTCTCAAAACAACAACAGCAGCAGCAAGCTTCTGAAACCAGGGACAGTCTTATGTCTGAGGCTGTGACAAGTGGCAGTTGCACAATCACAAAATGTGGCAGTGGCAGGAATTGGTCCAAAGGGGCAGGGAATGGTTTGAATTCTTGAATGTCTGGAGAGGTTGGTGTCCAAGGCTGGGCTTGTGCAGAAGTGTCTGTGGGTAAGTGGTGTGATCAGTGTCTGGGTGGAATCCCCAGTGAAGGTGTATGTGCAGGTGTGAACATTTTGGGCAGCAGTCTGTGCCTGCAGGCCTCCGTGTAGACATTTGCAGGTGTTATGTTTGTGTGTGTTTTGGTATCTGTATTTGGGTGGAGAGATTTTGTGTATTGCGGATGGGCCTCTCAGGTGTAAATGGTATAACTGTGTGTGTCCTTGTATAGGAACCTGAAACACATGTGTCTATGTACAGGCATGCTCATGTACAGGCGTGTCTACATCAGAGTGCATGCCCATGTCCGTGTGCTTTTGGGAGTGTATGAGTGTGTCTGTGGTGGGCAGGTATGTCTGCTCAAGGGTGTTTGCAGCCTGGTCGTGGTGGCTCACACCTGTAATCCCAGCACTTTGGGAGGCCAAGGTGGGCAGATCAATTGAAGCCAGGAATTCGAGACCAGCCTGGCCAACATGGTGAAATCCCATCTCTACTAAAAATACAAAAGTTAGCCAGGCATGGTGGGGGGTGTCTGTAGTTCCAGATACTCAGGAGGCTGAGGCAGGAGAAACTCTTGAACCCGGGAGGTGGAATTTGCAGTGAGCCAAGATCGTGGCCACTGTACTCCACAGCACTCTGGCCTGAGTAACAGAGCAAGACTCTGTCTCACAAAAAAAAAAAGAAAGAAAGAAAAAAAAGAAAAAGAAAAAAAAAAGTAAAAGAAAAAAAACGGTGTCTGCAGGGATTTACTCTACAGGTATACCTGTATACATTCCTGTGTGCTCTTGCGGAGCTGTCGGGTGTATAGGTGTGTTTAGTTCTGTGGGGTTTGGAGTACCTGGTCTGTGTGTACTAGGATAGCAGTGAGGGAGAGAGATCACACTCTTCTGTGGCCTCTCTCATGCCATTTGGGGGTCTTGTGTCACAGAGGGAGAACCCAGCATTAGTGGAGTCTGAGATGGCAGAACCAACGGAGGAGACCTTCAATCCCATGTCACAGCTGGCCCGCCGGGTGAGTCTTCTCTCTTTTTCCACGCCAACCCCTCTGCCAGAGAAGCCTGGCAGAGGCTTCTCTGGAGTCCTGGAAGGTTGTGCTGGGCCCCTTTCCTGACTCCCACCCTGCTTCCCAGGTTCAGGGGGTCGGGGTGAAAGGCTGGCTGACAATGTCGTCTCTTTTTAACAAAGAAGATGAGGATAAGCTGCTGCCACCGGAGCCTTGTGCTGACCAGTATGTGTGTGTGTGTGTGTTTGTTTGGGGGTGGTTCTGGAAGGGGCCTGCAGTCCCCCTCTGCTTGGTCCTTTCCTTCTGGTCAGTTTGTCTTTCTAACCACAGAGGGCTGAGAAGGGGCAGCCCCAGGCTGTTTCTGTTTCTCTCAGCAGGAAACAGGCCAAATCAGCATATCTGGGAGATTAGGGTAAATCTCAGGAGGAATTGACCAGCTGTTGGGATTGAGGTGCTAGACGGTATTTATGGGCTCTCTCAGCCCATCCACTTGGGCGGGGCCGTCTCTCTAAAATCCGAGAACGGAGAATAGCTTTAGGTGTCTGCAACAGAAGGTGATCCAGATCAAAGGTTCGCAAATACTGTCTAAACCCTTACCCTCCAAGGAAGCATGTGACAAACATATTTCTGGACCTCCTTGAGAGACTCCGATTCTGTGGCAGGGCCCTGGGGATCTAGCTGTTTTCAGCAGGCTCCCTGCCCGGGACCCTGCAGCACCTACTTTGGGAACCACTGTCTTAGAAGGTCTTTGATGCCTAGGACGTCAGTCTCCCTCCTGGCTCTATCTCTGGCACACTCTCCATTTCTGTCTTTTCCTCCAACCTGGTCACATCCCCCTCTCACCCTTGACCCTATTCTTTTCTCCTAGGGTCCCCATGACCCATCCATCTCTCCTGCCCCCAAGTTTCCATTCTCCTCCCCCGACGTATACCCATCCCCAGTTCCCTAAGGAACTTCTCAGACTGGAGGCTTCAGCTTCAAGCATCATCACCTCTCCTTGACTGTCCTCCCCCCACATCTCCCCACCTCTCTTGAGTCCCCTTGCTTTCCCCTAAGCCTCTCACTTAGGCCTTCCTGTCACTCCACCTTTCTCCTGTGACCCTAGTCCCCCTTTCCCTCAATCCCAGGACCGTGCCCTGCCCGTGACCTGCCTCTTTTCCCTAAGGCATCCCTCGGGTGGGATCTAAACAGCCCCTCCGGCTTCCACCTGCTCTCCCAGGGATCCTTCCAGCTTCCCAGACCTACGCGCGTCTCCAGCATCCCTCCTCGAGCCTCGCCTGAACCCCTGACCTCATTCTCTCCCCAGGGATCCCGATGACTGTCCCCGCCCTCCACACCCCTCGCCTAATCCCCTGACCCTGTCCCACCCCAGCCCCCTTTCCCAGGGCCTCTGAGCCCTCCCCTTGCCTCCAGGCCCTGACCCGCCCCTCGACCCCGTCCCCCTCTAGTCACCTGACCCCGCGCCTTACTAGAGCTCCCGAGTCCGCCTGGGCTCCCCCGGCCCCACCTCCTCGTCCCTCGGCCCCGCCTCCTCGCCGATGTTCTCCTCGGGACCGCTCGGACGCTCGGCCGCTGCCCTGACCGCGACCCTCTTTCGCAGCCCCCTGGCGGCGCGACCTCCCTCGCAGGCGGCGGCGGCGGCGGAGGCGCGCGGCCCGGGCTTCTGGGACGCGTTCGCCAGCAGGTGGCAGCAGCAGCAGGCGGCGGCTGCGTCCATGCTGCGCGGCGCCGAGCCTACCCCAGAGCCGGACCTCGAACCCGGGGACGAGGCCGTCGAGCGCCCCGAGTCGCAGGAGGCCGAGCCGGTGGCCGGCTTCAAGTGGGGCTTCCTCACCCACAAACTGGCCGAGATGAGGGTGAAGGCCACGCCCAAGGGCGACTAGCGGGCTGGCCGAACCCAGCGCCCGCTGCTCCCATCCCTGATAAAATCCCTGGCCCGACAGCCTGTGTGACTGCGTGCTTTTGTCCGGACATCAAGAAAGGCTGCTTTTGGGGGGGCGACCTCGGGCGGGGTCCAGCTGGAGGGGTCCTCGCCTCACCAAACATATAGGGGAAAATGACCAAAGACAGCCCGCATATCAGGATGGGTTTTTTATTTAAGGTACAACTTTCCAGTAAGCTGGGGAGCTCCAGAGGACGGCGTCCACAGCCCTCTCCAGCCTCATTTAAGTCAACAAACTGTGCCTGTGGCCCTACTATGTACGCCGTCCCTGTACTAGGCAAAGGTCAGAGACTAACGAGAGAACCCGGACTACCATCAGGTCCCACAAAAGGTGACAAATTCAGGCACAGAAGTAGGGCTGTACTTGGGAGCTCAGAGCAGGTGAGGCTGACTGGGGCATTCAGGAAGGCTTCCTGGAGAATATACGTTATCTCCAAGAAGGAAGAGTGGAGAGAAAAGGAACAGCAACCCAAGCAAAGGAAGGAGGTGCATGAACGAAGAAGACTCAGAGCTTCGACCCTGTGATACATAGGCGACCCTGTGTGTACTTGCGGGAAAGGGAGGCGGTGGCAGGAGCCTGCGGGCTGGCAGAAAAGCTTCCCTTCTTTTCGTGTCTGAAAGGTTGGATCCTCCACATCTCAGCCCTTCATACCCAGTGACCACGACCCGGGCAGCAAAACTCCTGCAATGGGGCCTTTTAGGATCTGGTGGTCCCCAGATTTCTGGAGCAGACGCCCCCTCAGGCTCCCGAAACGCGCTATTCCCAGCTCCCAGCTGTAGTTTGGATCGACCTGAAGGCCGGTGGAAATCACAACAGTGTTAGAACTCATTCGGTAGAAGTCACAGCAGTTATCGTTTATTCGAGCACTTTCTATATGCTGGGCACTTTGCCATGCACGTTACAACTATTTTGAAATACTTGCATCCCCTACTCCTGCCTCCTTAGTAACCGAGAGGTCCCGCTGCTTCAGAGGTCAAGTGCTTGCCCAGGGTCACACAATCAGTCGGGAACCCACACTCTAAAACCCGCGCGGTTAACCACGAAAACCGGTTTGCCTACTTCCTCAGCTCCCCATTTAAATAACACTTTAACTGTATTCAGCAGGTTTGCTCATCTCCCACCCAGTCCTGACTCCCCAGACCTGGCCTCCACAGGGGCCACGAGGCACCTCCCTCCCACTTCGCCGCGGGCTCAGGGAAGGGCCTTCGCCAGCAACTTGTCCCACCTCCCCAAGGTTCGGACGCGAAACTGAGTTCCAGAGGGAAGGGCTTGCGCAAAGGCACCCAGCGCGTCAGAAGCGGGGTGTCCCCGTCCGTGCCCGGGGCCAGCCCCGCGCTCCGCACTCCCCCGGAGCCGGCTCCGGAGCGGCGGCGGTCACACCTCGGACTCGCGCGGTGGTCCGCGGGCGCGCTGGCAGCCGTACAGCCACTGGATGACGCGCGCGTTGCGTTCCACCACCGACACCGGGGGGCGCCCGTCCCGCGCCGAGCCCGCTGCCTCCGAGCCGCCGCCGCCGCCGCCGCCGCCCGCGCCGTCCGGGCTGTCCACGCCCCTGTCGCTGGACGTCCAGTCGCTGGCGTCCCCGGAGCCGGGCGGCGGCGAAGTTCCGGCCTGCGGGCTGGCCTCGGCGCCCCAGCTCTGCGGGGAGAAGCGCTCTGCGCCCAGAACCTCCACCAGCGCGCGCTCCAGGCCGCAGTAGTTGAAGAAGCGCTCCTTCTCCGACAGGGGCAGTGAGCACGTGGGGCACAGCTCGCGCTTTCCCGTCGCTTCCGGGGCATCCTGGGGCGCGGCCCAACCCCCTGAAGTCGCAGGTCGCTCTGCGGAGGCCGGGCTGCTCGGGACAGCGTCCCGCGGGGCGCCCAGAAAGAGACGCCGCACCAACCCTTGGCCCTTGGCGTTCTCTTTGTTCACCGAAGCTTTGCAGTCCCGCTTCTGGCGGTAAAAGATGAGGGAGTCAGGCCTTGGCAGCCGCCTGCTGCTTCCGCGGCGGGCCGGCCTGGGCGTCCTGGGCGATGCAGGGGGCCCCAGCTCGTTGCAGGGGTGCGGCGTCAGCGGCCCGGGACTCCCACGCAGGGCTGGCTCCTGTCGCCTAGCTATCACCTGGTACGTCTTGACATACTTGGCTTTGTCGGCTTCCAGCCTCTCCACAGCGCTGGGGGTCCTTCCTCTGGACGGAGTGGAGGGAGGGGCCAGGAGCATCTTAGCAGAGCTGGGTAGGACAGTGCCTCATAAGTAGCCAGCCACGGGGCCAAGAGCACGTGGCTTGGGCTCTCACAGACCTGCAGGGAGAGAGGAATGGTCGGGGGAAGGGCAGGAACTGTCCCTGCTCCTCTTTTCCTGGCATTCCTCAGTATGGGATCAGTCAGCCACCCCTCTCCCATCCAGGTTAGCCGGTCCCATGTCCAGGGAGCAGAGGCTCAGGCCATCCCTTTCTCCGTCCTTCGGAGACATTGAGTGGGGATCTCTCTAGCCACTCAGAAACATATGCCCCTTTGAAGGTGCCCCATTCTGGCCACAGGGCCATGCAGGCAGGCCTCAGCAAGCAGGACACTTGGAAAAGGAAACGGCTGGTCCCGGCCCAATTCCTGAAAGTGGCTTCAACCGGAAAAAATACCTCTTCCCAACCCAGCAGCTTTGAGCACAAGACAAGGAGGCTCCCAGCCACAGGCTGGCTCCAGCAGGGCCCACCCTTCCCGCCCCCAAACACCGAGGTCAGGGATATAACCACAGGGTAGGAGCCTCCAGTGATTGCAGCCAACTGCCCTTCCCAGGCCCAGCAGGGCCATCCGGGCAGGAGAGGGAGGTGGTCCCCAGGCCCTATCAGCTACTGCCAGCTACTCTGCCCCTGCCAAGGGGATCTCGGAATGCCAAACTGTAAACATCACCTTGTTTAACCTTTGCATTTCCATTTCATGAGGAGGAAACTGGCCTAGAGAGAAGGGGGGGGGGGGGCTTGTTCGGGTCCTGTTGAGAGTTAGGGGCCAGGACTGGAACACAGGTTTCTTGCCTTGCGGTTCAGATTGGATCTCTCACTTGCCTATCAGAACTTCTCACTGATGCCTGGTGCAATGGCTCACACCTGTAATCCCAGTACTTTGGGAGGCCGAGGCGGGTGGATCACCTTAGGTCAGGAGTTCCAGACCAGCTTGGCCAACATGGCGAAACCCTGTCTCTACTAAAAATACAAAAATTAGCCAGGTGTGGTGGCGCTCACCTGTAATCCCAGCTACTTGGGAAGCTGAGGCAGGAGAATCGCTGGAACCTGAGAGGCGGAGGCTGCAGTGAGCCAAGATCGCAGCACTGCACTACAGCCTGGGTGACAGGTCGAGACTTTGTCTCAAAAAAAAAAAAAAAAAAAAAAAAAAAACCAAGGAAAAAACAAAAACCTTCTCACTGATATTTTGTGTGTATTCCTGCTGCTATAAAACCAAGCAATTTCCGTTAGGAATGGGCCCCTTGCCTCACTAAAAAGTTCCTCACTAATTCTTCCTAATAACTTGCACTCCTCCCAGAATTCTGCCCTCAGGGTCCTTGTCGCCTTTTTATCCTGAGACCTCCTGACCCTTCTCCACCTCCTTTCTGCCGGGGAAAGGGGCGAGAAGGGGTTGTAAATCAAGAGCTGACAGTTCTCTTGGCAGTAACAGAATAGGCCACCCACATGGCCCTGCACACTCGACCCCACCCTATCTCCCCCTACTCCCCCTAAGTCCGGGAGGCTAAGGGACTTTGGATCTGGGGACAACAAAGGAACAGAACTTGCCAGGGAAGCAGGGAGAGGGTCTGCGAGAGGCCTTGGGGCAGAGACCCTGCCAGGCCCAGCCCACCCCCATGCCCATCATTCAGTCTGCCCAAGGGTAGTTGAGGCCTGGGAACCAAGGAGAGCCTGGCAATGTCCCCCTCCCTGTCTCTCAGGGATTCTTCTGGGCAGTGGGTCAGATTCCAAGGTCCCAGGAAGGCACTGCTTGTCTGACCCCGTGGGTGCCCGTCTGTCCTCTCCTCTTCTCCCCAGCCCTGAGCAGGGAGACTATAAAAAGTCCTTAACCACAAGGACCAAAATAGTCTGTCATCCACAGCCTCTTCCCTGCCTTCCGGGCTAGCCTGGAGGCCGGCCCTCAGACATCCCACCCTAGAAGCCTGGCAGGCGGCTGGGTCCCTCCATTCCCTTGCTCGCCTTCTCCCAGTCCGGAAGTTTGTGTTCCCAACTCTGCCCAAGGCTTTGGCTCTGGGCATGGGCCATCTTTTAGGCTCACTAGTTTGGCACCAGTCTCCCTGCCTTCAGGTTCCTGGGTTCCTTCCTGCCCCAGCCCTGGGCTCAGGATGCACTCACCTCTGCGTGGGAGGCCTAATTGCAGGGGTCCTTGGGCATGTCCAGACTGAGGGCAGGAGTGGACAGCAGGGACTAGAAGTAACTTTGGTGGCAGCCAAACCTCACTCTCCACAGGAAAAGCAGAGAGAGCCTCCACCCCCGCCCCCCAAATTAACCCTTGCCTTCCTGACGAAGAGCCTGGCCTCATTAACTCCTTCCTGATCACAGTCTCTGCGCTCTGAGGACCTGTGAACCAAGTCCAGCTCCCTTTATTTTACAGACGGTCAAACGGTCCTTGCCCGGTTGGCTGGGGAAACACTGTGAGTGTGGGCAGAGCCAGGACTCTAAACAAGGCCTCCTGATCCCCAGGCTTCCTCCACAGGCCTGGAGTGGGGGTGCTTTGTATGTGGGGTCAGCCCCCTCCCAGGGCTGTGGCAGATGCTCTGACAGTCTGAATGGGAAGGCAGAAGGTTCTAGTCGAATTGCTTTTTGCCCTCTGTGGCAGGCTGAGACCTGTCCTGGTCTGGATGCTGGGTGGTGTCAAGCCTACATTCCCTAGGGGTGAGGCCAGGAATCTGCAGCCTAAAGCTGGGGCCATTGGTGCTGCAGATATGCAGGTGAGCCTGTGCTGGCAAGTCTTGGCATGAAGGTGACCCCGGAGCCCACTGGAGCTGCCTCTGCCCAAGGTCCTCTCATGGCAGATGGGATTGGCTGGGAAGACAATGATGAGGGGCTGATTCCAGGGCCAAGCCCAGGTTGTTCGGCCCCCTTCGTTCTCTGCCCACACTTGAAGCCTCTTAGAGTTTCTTCCATCAGAGTTTCTTCTCTGACACCTTATGTCTCAAGGTGAAACCCTACCTCTTAGGAGAGCTCCTCCCCTGTCCCCAGCAGACAAACGAAACTCTAGCTCAGAGTTCAAAGACCAGTTCCCCTGCCAAAGGATGCTTGCCCCCTTGGCTGGACACCTCCCCACGTTCCTCCTCCTTGTTTCTAGCCCTCTCCATGTTTACAGAGCATGTTCCCATCTGTGCTCTCTGATCTCCTTTGACCCCTGCCCAAGGACCCTAGGCAGAAGTCCAGCAGGAATGACCCCCTACTTAATGAGCAAGGAAACAGGAACTGAGGCGGAAGAGAGATGCCCAAAGCCCAGCTTCAAATCCACGCTTCCAACTGCACCCTCTGCCTGTCAAGTCAGTAATGGGTCTGAAAAGCCAAGGCCCATCTCCTGGTAAGAGGTTTTCATTACCTAAAGGGGGGATTTTGTTTTGGGGACTTTGTTGGTGATAGTTCCATATGGTGTTGTCACACCACCTTTTAAAATGCCATCAGCTACATTGTCATACTACCCATGACAATCTTTGGGGAAGGTTTTATCATTTTTCCCATTTATGGCTGAAGAGACTGAGGCTCAGAGAGGAGAAATAACTTCTCGAAGCTCACTGAATTAGGAGTAATAGATAAAGTCTGGCTCTGTCGCTCGGGCTGGAGTGCAGTGGCGCGATCTCACTCGGCTGACTGCAACCTCCACCTCCCAGGTTCAAGCAATTCTCCTGCCTCAGCCTCCTGAGGAGCTGGGACTACAGGTGCATGCCACCATGCCCAGCTAATTTTTGTATTTTTAGGCCACCCTCCTCGGGCTTCCAAAGTGCTAGGATTACAGGCCTGAGCCACTGACCCTAGTCAATAATTTTATTGAGAGATTAATATATGTTAGGGGCTGTTCTAAGTACTTCACATAAGGATTAACATATTTAATCCTCAAAAAACAACCCAATGAAATGGCATTTTTGGGCCGGGCATGGTGGCTCACGCCTGTAATCCCAGCACTTTGGGAGGTGGAGGCAGGCCGATCACTTAAGGCCAGGAGTTTGAGACCAGCCTGGCCAACATGGTGAAACCCCATCTCTACTAAAAATACAAAAATTAGCTGGATGTGGTGGCGCATGCCTGTAATCTCAGCTACTCGGGGGGGCTGAGGCGGGAGAATCACTTGAATCTGGGAGGTGGAGGTTTCTGTGAACCAAGATCACACCACTGAACTCCAACCTGGGCAACAAGGCAAGATTCTGTCTAAAAAAAAAAAAAGTCACTTTCATTCTCCTAACTTTATAGATGAAGGCTGGTGGTGCCAGCTTGGCCCTGAGATCTGGTCAGGAAGGGGTTAAGCAGGGGAGGTGGGCAGGGCCCAGCTGGGATACTGTCAATGGCAGGAAACCTGGCCCACCACTGCAGCAGCTGAGGGGGGAGGATGGGGCTGTTGTGTCTGACTCTGCAACCCCCATCCCTTTGGTCTTAAAGGAGCATCCAGGTTGGGTGGTGGGACCAGCAGGCTCAACGACACATGCTGGAGTACAGAAAGACGGAATTCTGGTACAATGCAGGTGACGCCCTGGGGCAGCTCTGATCTGACGGGGTGACTTGGTCCTCCACACCGGAGCCCTCAGTTAGAAGTGCCCAGGAGAGTTTGGTCAGGGAGGGAAGACAGCTCCAGCTCTGGGAGCCCCCAGTGAGACAGGAGTGGCACAGCTCTGCCCTCAGGGATCTCTGGCGCGGGATGGGAGAGGGCTAAGCAGCCTTGCTCTCAGGAGCTCCCCATGTGAGGGCAACAGACCTCTGCCCCGAGTGCTGATGGACAGAATCCTGGGAGGCAGGCACAGACAGACCTTCTACCCAACGGGCAGAGCAGGGTCTGGGAGGAGAGGTCGAACTGGATTGGCTTTCTGGTTAAAGGGGCTCTGAAAGAGTCAGCAGAGGAGAGGCAGGGGGGTGGATGAGAGGATGAGGTGGGCTGCATCTGCCTGGCCTCAACTTCCAGCCACCCTCTCTGTGGACCAGACTGTCCCTGTTTCTGGTTGTGGGTCCTCAGGGACTGCCTTAAAGTGGCTCTTTCCGGCCCTAGAGCCAGGACTCAGGCAAGGGGGAGGAGAGTCTGAGGGTGTTTCCTTCCTACTTCCCACCTCATTCCCAGATCGCTTTGAGAATGGAGATCAGATCGGAACTGGCCTGAGTCAGAAGGTCTCCTTCCAGGAGAGGGTGGTGGGAGGATGGGGGAGCAGCTCTGGTCAGTGTCGGGAATAACCAGCGGGTCAGGGAGGCCTTCAGGTCCAGTCTCACACCCCACACCCACATTGTCACAGAGGAAACGTGTGTCACCCCCCTAACTAGCTGGCTACAGCCTCCACACCTCAGCCCTGCCTTTGATTCCAGCCCTAGTCTACCTCTCCCTGGCTGTGTGGCCTCGAGCAAGAACCTAATCTCTCTGAGTTTCCTTCTGTGTCAGAAGGTGGGAATGGTGAGACCCAGCTCCGTGTGGTTTGGAGAGGCAGGGAAGTGGGGACTGCAACTGGAAGGTGCTCTGGAAATGGTAGATGAATCTGACTTCAGTGTTTGCCCTTCACCAATGCCTTCCTGCACCTCGGGGCGACATCTGTCCTCCTATTCCCACAGTCTTGCTCACAGCTGCCGGCCACAAATCACCAGGAGCACTGCACTGTGCCATGGGGTCAGTGGATCCGACACGGTTTTGCTCTCTCAGATGGTGGCAGAGGCGGGAAGTGCCCCCACGGTTGGCGAGAGACCAGTGCTGCTGCAACTAAGATGAACACAGCAGAGGGGGTGGTGGTCTCTTCTGCCATGGGTGGGGTGGGAAGTTTCAAAGAAGAGGGGTCGGCCGGGCGCGGTGGCTCAAGCCTGTAATCCCAGCACTTTGGGAGGCCGAGGCGGGTGGATCACGAGATCGAGAGATCGAGACCATCCTGGTCAACATAGTGAAACCCCGTCTCTACTAAAAATACAAAAAACTAGCTGGGCGTGGTGGCATGTGCCTGTAATCCCAGCTACTTAGGAGGCTGAGGCAGGAGAATTGCCTGAGCCCAGGAGGCAGAGGTTGCGGTGAGCCGAGATCGCGCCATTGCACTCCAGCCTGGGTAACGAGAGCGAAACTCCGTCTCAAAAAAAAAAAAAAAAAAAAAAGAAGAGGGGTATCTGAGCCCGGCTGGAAAGGGATTTTTGATTGGGTTAGCAGTGGGGGAGACGAGAGAAGCATGGGGTGGAGAGCCCTGCAGGCGCCAGGTCTCAGTGAGGGCAAGAGGCCAGGGAAGGGTCTCGGAGAATGAGAGAGGGAGGAGCGGGAGAGAGGGGGGGACGGCTTGCGAGGAAAGATGGGGTGCAGAGAAGGGATGGGGTTTGTGAGGATATGGGAAGCTCAGACAGAGAAGGGGCTCAAGGGACTTGGCGAAAAGATGGGAGCTCAGGGACGGGGGTTTCACGAAAGGAGAATAGTTGGGGAGAGTTGGGAGCGTCTGACAGGCCCCGAGGCCACAGGAGGAGCCCCCCACAGAGATTAGAGCAGCCATCCTCTAATTCCAGGCTTTCCATTTCGGAAAGAATCTCAGCCACAACAATAGCCTGGCCCCAGTGCCTGCTCTCCCTCTGAGGGGTGTGGCCTCTGGGCAGAGCCAGGCCCCGCACCCACCACCCAGGACTCACGGAGGAGGGTGGAGGGGAAGAATAGGAAGGAAGATGCCATTAAACTTTTTTTTTTCTTTTTCTTTTTTATTTTGGGGTAGAGTCTTGCTCTGTTGCCCAAGCTGGAGTGCAATGGTGTGATCACGGCTCACTGCAGCCTTGACCTCCCTGGCTTGAGTGGTCCTCTTGCCTTAGCCTCCCAAATAGCTGGGACCACAGGTGTGCAATGCCACACACAGCTAATTTTTGTATTTTTCAGAGATGGGGTTTTGCCATGTTGGCCAGGCTGGTCTCGAACTCCTGACCTCAGGTGATCCGCTTGCCTCAGCCTCCCAAAGTACTGAGATTACAGGCATGAGACACTGGCCTATTTACTTATTTTTGGATACAGGATATCATTATTGCCCAGGCTGGAGTGCAGTGGCATGATGATAGCTCATTGCAACGTTGAACTCGTGGGCTCAAGCTTCAGCTTTTTGAGAGTAACTGGGACTACACGCACATCACCACCACACCTGGCTTGTGGGGTCCTTTAAAGGGCAGGAGCCCCCCTATCCAGTTCTAAGGGAGGCACTGAGCTATGGGCAGGGAGGTGTTGTGTCACATTGAACATATCCAACCCTGGGGAATTACCCCTTTATATCCAAGGAAGGCAATCCCC